GGTTGTTGATTATATGCTTATTTCATACCGAAACCCACAATATCCCCTAACTGTTTTGAACAGTCAATGTGACTGCAAGATGTCACTAAAACTCCATTACAAATCTATGGATAAAATGTTTCTCTAAACCTAGGAGTCACACTTCAAATACTCCTTACTATTTCATTATCAAATGCCAGCTATGAACGTTTTGTTCAGCAAATTAAAATAAATTTTGACATATTTACAATCAATGATGGGACAAGATCCCTAAAGTCATCTAGCATTTTTAAAAGTGTGGAAATAGAAAAATTTGAAAGGATCGACTTTGATGAAGTAATTGATAAATTTGCTTCATACAAGGCAAGAAAAACGTATACAAAGTAATTAATTGTATTAATGTATTATAATACTGTATTATTAATAATAAATATATCTACTTTATCTATAATATATATTAAACTTTTAATTGTTTAAAAATTGTACTTTTAAAAAAACAAGACTAAAGGCAGCACTAAATGATCTCGTGAAATAACAAAGATCAGAAAATACAACAATGTCAATCGTGAACTTGAAAGAAGAGTCGAGTGAAACGTCTGCTTTTTTTACCTTGATGCAGATTAGAGGGACATTCACTTTTATCATGATGTCAATAATTTGGTATTTCCATTATGATTCATTATTATTTGGTAATAATGATGTCATTATTCAGTAAGTATTTTTCTTTGATATTTCATATTCAATGTTGTGGTTTCCGGAACCTATAAACTGAATGTTTATATTTTGAGAGGCAATGCGGATTTCAGGAGTTGGCGGATTTTTGGTATTTGACTGTACTTCCTTTTTACTTCGTACTAGGAAGTAAAAACTGACTATGTCTCTTCCTATGTAGACCTTTAGATCACGAAGTAAATGTGCTTTTAAACATACTGCAGCAGCATAAGGGAAGAATTTTGTAAATTTCCTATGATTTGGAGGGAAGACACGGCCAGAGCAAGACATCGGTGGAGATTGTTCCTGCTATCAGATCCAGTTCTCGTGACGCAGTACACCTTATCCAGATAAGCAATGGCTTGCTAAGCGTGACCACATATATCATTAATCTGACTGCATCAGCATTTCCCTATGCTAATTTCAAGTTAATATTATTTTGTGAAGTTCTATTAACATTCACAATTATTATTTTACGATTATTTTCAATTATTTTTGATAGGATGATTGATACTTTACTCACCACCATTGCCATGCGCCTGACTGCTTATCAGTAACTGCTATTATTTTATGTCAGTATTATCAATAGTTATATCAATATGTTATCATTAGTCAATTTTCGTGAAGTAAATATTTAAATTAATTTGATATTGATTTACTGGATTGTATAGAGCACATAGTTATAAGTTCTCACTTTAAGTGATTGTCAGGAACCTTGTGCATAATAGGCCAACACAAAATTAACACAGCCCCATCCAAATCATGAATTGTAATGCGCACAGTGTGCTTAATAATATACAGGAGCTTGATACCTTTCTACTTATTTATGACACAGATTTTGCACTAATCATAGAGATGTTTGCGAGTCCTTGCTTGAATTTAAAAATCGCAAACTATAATTGCTACAGATGGGATAGGCTGAGTCACAGAGCTGGGGGGAGTCATGATCTCTATCAAAAACTTTCTTCAGTCATGTCTTATCAAAGAAGACCGCTGTAATGGCTATGACGCTATTACAGTTTCTGCTTTGCTTCCCCTCTATGGGGTTGTCTATTTTGTCACAATATATAATCCTTCTCATAACTCTCTTGACAAAAAAAAAAAAAAAAAAAAAAAAAAAAAAAGGGGGTTATCTTTCACCAAATGACAAGCATATTATCCTTGTGGGAGATCTTAATGCTAAGAATACTGAATGGGAATGCAGGCATATGAACAATAAAGGCAAAATTCTGTTAGATTTTATAAACAACTACCTGATTTATTTTTATGTTCTCTGTCTTCCTGACAATCCTAGAAAGGAAGATATCTTCCATCTAGCTCTCACCACCACCTCTATCCCCAGGTATCTGGAGGTTCAAGTAAAACTGATTTCAGATCATGTACCGGTAATTGTGACATTCAGTACAAACAAAAGCAGCAACGTTAAATACAAAAAAAATTACTGATTGGAATTGTCATTACAATCACCCATTTTAAAAATCCTCCAGATGTTAAGAATTTACAGACTACTAATGATCTCGTGATGATCACGCCATTGATGTACTTAACTGTATATTTAGCACCTACAATGAGGCCACACAGAGAATTCAAGCAATGCAATAGGTTATGTAAAAGATGGCATATTTCTTGGGATCCAAGAATCTAAAAGGATATGAACAGATTAAATAAAATAATCAAAGTAAGCATCAAAAACCACAGAGACAAAATTTGGAATGAAAAAATCTGAAAAAAGCTTTAACGAACCAAATAACTCTTTCTGGTCATTTGTGTGCAATCTTCAAAGAAAGCCACAAAGCAACAAGCCCATTTATAGTGATAATAAAATTGCGCTTACTAATAAAGATAAGGCCGCAATTATGGCAGAGCACTTTGAAAAGTTTATGCTAAATATCAACCCCCGTGATCATGTTTTTTAATATGACATGCACTACTTTATACATGATTGGATAAGCAGCCCTGGGGCCAAAAATAGAACGGATTTTACATCCCTGAAAAAAAATTAAGGATATTAAAAAAAAAAAAAAAAAAAAAAAAAAAAAGATGAAAAATAGAAAGGCACTCAAATATGATGATATAACTAGAATCACCATTAAAAACATGCCTCAAATACCGTCACAAGATACGCCAGCACTTTAAACGCCTGCCTTGAAAATAACTACTTCCCAAACAAATGAAAAAATCCAAAGGTATTTTATTACCAAAACCGGGCAATAATGCTACAAAACCAGAGGGTTATAGAGCCATAAGCCTTCTTCCCAGATTAGGCAAAATATTCGAATCAATCATCTTAAAAAGAATAGGCCATACATGACCAAGTTACCTCTGGAGCAATTTGGATTAAGATAAAATCTTTCCACAATAAAGCAGCTTGTATGATTATGCAAATTCATCAGATCTGCATTAAACGATAATCAGAGCGTTGCTTTACCCATGCTAGACGTGGCGAAAGCTTTCGACATGAAGTCTTGTATGAGGGGCTCATTTTCAAGCATATTTATTTCGACTTTAGAAGAGATTTGATACTCTTAATTTATTCATTCATAAGGAATATTGGTACAGGCAACTCAGAATGCAGGCGATTAAACAGAGGAGTATCATAAGGGTCAATATTATGGCCCATATTTTATTTATTTTACGTGGCACATTTCCTAAAAGTGTGCAAAGACTTAAATTCATGTCTTGGTTGCTATGCTGATGACATGGTGCTGGTTGTAAAATCACTAAGTCAGGAAAATGCATTCAGAAAATTACAAGGTATGATACCAGTGATTGAACACTGGTGTACTAAGTGGCGAACTGCCATTAATGGTCAAAAGTCACAATTGATAATTATAGGAAAAAAGCATTCCAGAATTCCATTGGACAGCAAAACTGAATTTTTCAACATGTGAGTTCCCATAGTTAAAAAAGCCACATATCTAGATGTTATACTAAATAATAAATTTAACTGGAGCAACCACATTAAGAATGCAAGGCATAAAGCACTCACAGCTATCAACAATCTTATTATACTGATCGGAAAAACTTCAAAGCTTGATATCAGCAGAAAGAGACATATTTATACTGCCATTATAAGACCAATCTTCTCTATGCCTCTCCTGTCTGGAAGGCCTTCACGAAAAATGATCTTAAAGCTGCAAATTACCAAAATAAATTTTTAAGGGTCATTACTAATGTGCATTTTTATGTATCGAATGATACCCTGCATAAGGATCTAAAAATTGAGACAGCTGAAAATTTTCTTCATCGAACAAACTCCAACTTTGATAATGCTCAGAATCGGCCACATTCAGATTTATTTAAAAAAGCTGCAAATTACCCAAAATAAATTTTTAAGGGTCATTACTAATGTGCATTTCAGTATCGAATGATACCTTGCATAGGGATCTAAAAATTGAGACAGTTGAAAATTTTCTTCATCGAACAAACTCCAACTTTGAAAATGCTCAGAATCGGCCACATATAGATTTATTTAGTCTTTGATTATATCATACTTGCTGAGGATTCCAAAATCAGACCACTCGCAGCTCACCTCAGCTGTGACTCGAATTTCCCTATGTAATCAGTCTTTAAAAAAACTGCAACATCACTGTTTATATATATATTTTGTATTATATCGATTTTATTGCATCTTATTTTACCTTCGTACTTTGTATGTGTCTATTAGCTGTATTAATTACTTAATGCTGTAAAATGTTTTATGTGTGTTTCTTCTTCCATCCATTCATCATGAACACACAAAATATTCAATTATCCGCTTGGTCAACATCTCTCCTGAACTTTGGTTCAAGTTTGATAAATTCGTTGTGACATCTCATAGTCAACCCCCTTTTTCCATTTCTGACTCCTCCCACTACCCAGCCCAGAGAGTGCACAGTCATGCGCCCGTGAAGCTTTTAAGTATCAACAAACCGGACACGCTGCGTGCTAACAGCGATATCCAGGTGCTAGGGATATTGATCAATTGAATGATTGATTTTCCTACAAAAATACCTTATTTCTGTTTTAAGAAAATCTCAAACAGATTTTAAAAAATGTAAAACTGAGTGGTATTTAAATAATTAATTTTTAATATGCATGGTTAATAGTAAAACATAACTTTGATTTCTGTAATTACTATGAAGCAGTGAAAACTCTACCAGATTTTTTTAAAAAAGTAAAAATAAACAAAAAATTACAAAATGAAATAAAAATTCAAGGCCATATTCATCAAGTTACATATATGATGTCACGTGCACTTCGAATAATAATATATAAATAAACATACTATAACATTTTTAAAAAAGATTTAATCACAGAAGTATACCCACCAGCACTAGCACTGGATGAGCTATCATCCACTTTAATAAGCTGAGATACAGGCAAGAACAGTGCATGTCCTGGACGAGATGTAAAATATAACCTGCCTCTAAAATCCCCATTTCCCCCATCAGGAAATACATTATCCTGAAAATTTAATGAACAGTAATTAAGTACAACAAGTACAACAATAAATATATGTATTCATTAAGACACAATAACATGCCGAACAAATTTTATTCAGAAGTCAAACAACAAATATCAGCATTATATTTTCAAATTTTCACAGGACTAGTTTCAATGGTTTTACTGACCTACCATCCTCAGCTGCAAAAGCTCAATCTAATCATTATATCCTATCTCATTCATTTGCGCTTTTGCAGCTGAGCATGGTAGTTCGGTAAAACAATCGAAACTAGTCCTGTGAAAATTTGAAAATATAACGCTGATTTTTGTTGTTTGACTTCTGAATTAGTATATGTATTCATGCAAAGAAGATAAAATGGTTTTAGATATAGGGGCATTGTTAAGCTTTAAAAAAAAAAAAAAAAAAAAATCTGAAAGATTTCAGATTTTAAATTACATCTAAAGAGACTTTTTTTAACATTTTGTGTGTTACATTTATTTATTAAATATCACGTTCTTTGCACTTAAACTATAAAATTCAGTTCAACAGCAATATTACAAAATAGTTTTAAAATGAACAAATCTTTAGAATTTCTGACACAGAGACTTGCGTGCTGGAGATAATTTTTTTTTTTTTTTTTTTTACAACATTGCCCTTGCTCGCTTTGAAATCCTTGGGTTTGTTAATCAAAAATTCGTTCCAAGTTTTACAAAATATGAAATCGATAATAAAACAAATTCCAAATTTCAAACTTGGGCTTCCACATGCCCATATTTGTAGGAGGTTTACGTCATTCACAATTCAATGGCTTTATGTGCCGTTGTTTTATCACAATGCAAGAAATACACATATATTTATGCGTTTTTTTTTTTTTTTTTTTTTTTTTTATTTTTTTTCAAATATAATGCAGGATTCTACCTTTTGGTGGCAACAGTTTGAAAAGTGAAACGGAGTGAGTGAAAATTTATAGTGAGCCAATGCAAAATCGCAAAACAAAAACAATAGTCCTTCAGGGACAAAGCCACTTTGGACTAAAAAAAGAGAAAATAAAAGAAATAAATTTCTATACACAGTCTGTTTTATCATAATGATACTGAGTATTAGCACAACCACCTTGGTAGAAGTTGCCAAATTTTCAGAAGTTGTCAAACTGTGATAACCATGAGCACAATAGTTCTTTGGGTAACCATACCAATAATTATAAGTTTAAATAAGGAACATCACCATGTTCATACATGCCATTTTGGTTGTACTAGAAGCTCTTAAGTCAAACTGCAATATTTTGGGTCTTCAGCTGAATTTTGAAATATGCACTTGTGAGATTTGCCTGCAAATAAATAAAGTTTTGTGAAATTTTTGCATGAATGTAATATTTTGCGACAAAGGCAGAAATGTTCAAATTCGCATTTGATGATGATGTATTTTGCAAAACAAACTTGAATGGTATAACAAAAACATTGAAATGAAAGGCATAACAAAAACATTGGCAGTTGAAGCCATAACTGGTTTGAGAATAGTTGTCTGCCATTTACTATAGCAATCAGATTTATATACTACTGGAGTGAAGAATTAACAAGTGGTAAATTTTGCTTGGATGGTTAGAAATGGGCAGTAAGACTATGGTAGACTGGAATAATACATGCAGGAGATACTATTTGTAAGTAGTTTTACAAATTTTTTTTTTTGGTATAAATACTGACTAAAATTAAAATACGTACCTAATAACATGTATGATATGAATAACTTTCTCCAATTTGAAATCTACCATTCTTTTTCTTCTTCAAAAAATCGCCAAATTGTGGCAAGGTGGTTGCAATAATACCAAATTATTATTTTCAGATATTGGAACATTGTTAAATTAAAAAAAAAAAAAAAAGAAAAGAAGTAAATTTCTATAGATAGTCTGTTTTATTATAATCATACTGAGAATTATTTAAATTATGAAAGTACTTACAAATTCAATACCAGCAGACCAGCCAGAACTAACAGATGGAATGCGGCCAATCCAACGAACAATACCAGATGCTGCACGTGTTTCTGTTAACCACAATATTCGATTTCCTAGAGAGAGTGTGGGAGCAACGGGTTCTTCTTCCAGATTCTGAGGCACAGGTGGAACATCTAAAAATTATTCATGCAACAAAAATAAAGATCACAGATATTCTGTCAGGTGTCACAGATATTAATATAACTGTGTAAAAGGAACAAAAAATTTTTTAAACTTTTTCATCTCATATCTAAACAGTGATAATAAAATTGATTTCTAATTATCTTTTAATATAAGTAATAAAAATTTTTAAAAAAGAGTTTTAAACTACCTGAATAATGCCTAGCATCACAACTGGGACAGTGACTGAATGACTGACAATGATGAGAATTACGTAAACACAATTCACAAGACATCTGGAAAAAGAAAGAAAAAGAAACTGCATTATTTAATTGAAAATATTATATTGCACTTTGAAAATCTGTGAGAGATATACAATTATGAATTAGATACAATACATTAATATAAATAATGAAAACACATGTGACAATGAAATAGCAATTTAATCGACTAAAGCTGATATTTAAGTGTATAAATTGATAAAATACTAGTAAATATGAATTTCACTCATTTCATAATCAAACAACAATGCATCATTTTTTAATTAATATTACCATAAATCTTACATGATATATTCACATGGAAGAGGATAAAAAGGAAGAGAATCTGTATAACAAAATACTGCTTATATGATATTTCATAATAATGAATCTATAGATCAAGGATTCGATGATAAAATTATGGGAACAAAAAGCAACTACATATCTACACTTATCACATTTAAATTTTAATATGTAATCTGACTTTTGATCTGTATTATACCTATAATGGTTACACATTGTATGGAGAAGACTGTATTCAAGTTATTTACATAGAAATTACATGCTATATATACAACAGTAATAATATATATGTAGCTATAAAGTACACTAATAACAGCTATATATGTAGCTATAACATATTTGAATTCTGCATCAACTTTGTTCCAAATTATACAGTATTTTAATTATATTCAATAACAATTTAGATTTTGAAGATATTTATATATAAACTGACCATTCCATTTTGAACAGAACAATACAATTTGACTAACATTCCATTCTTTTGGTAAAGTTTTAACCTGTTTTGATATTTAATTTAAAATAACACTTATATTTTAAGTTTTACACAAACTTACACTAATAGCTACACATCATTCATATTTACATTAAACAGAGACTGGGAATAAAGTGGAGAAATATCGTATGATGCTGCATTTCAGATGTATATATATTGGCAATATATATACACCTTAAATGCTGTGTCTAGTGGGGGAGAACTATACCTGTATGCGACCAATAATGAATTTCTGGTGGTACTAGCTTTTGCTCTGAGCACTTGCTAGTGGCAGCATATGCATGCAATGTTATATTTCCTTCTACATGATCTTACAATTACAAACTGAAAATATCGAAGATGTAAAGGCATGCATTTCATGATGTGGCTAATCTTTGGAATATGGTAACAGGTAGTTTGGCGACATTTGTAGGCGATAAGGTGACTAGTAGGTCTTGGCTTGTACTGGATAAAGTCAAGGTGTGCCAGCCATTTGTGCAATTCTGGATTTTTTTACGTGAAAATAGGTTGAGTGTTACATGGATATACCAGGTATGTGCCATTTAAAAACGGAAAGCAGGGGGTTTGCATTCTCCAATTCGCACCTAATCTCATAATGATTAAGAACTTTTGTTCCATAAAGTTCTTCTGTATAAGTTAATTCAGCTAGCAGATGTTGGAAAAATGTTGAGTAAAAAAAAAAGGTTGATCTTACAATATGGTACTGGTAGTTGGCGACATTTGGAGGCGAAAGGTACTCCTGGCACTTTGGTAATAATGTAGCATACTCAGTTCGATTACGCATTATTTTGTGTGAGGGAATGAGAGACATGGGATATGCAGTGCTTAAGGATGATAGGTTATAATCGGAAAAGGGGGAAATCGGGAAAAATCTGGAAAATTTTGGCTATTCTGTGTTGTGTGCAGTGTTCGTGAATGTTTGGATCCCTGGCCGTAAAAGAATTCGAAAGGGTATTATTTGTATTAATTTCATGTATGTGCTCATTATATTTAGTAGTGTTTTTGAATTTAATTATATTTTAATTAAATGATAGTTATTTTGTGAATTTATTTGTAGGAATTGGTTACGTTTAGTTGAAATAAACGTCATGGAAATAATTTAAATATTGACATAAGTATTTGTAATGGTTGCGTATGAATCGTTGGTGACGTGTATAAGTAATAGATGATTTAGAGGCCAAAGTTTTTGGGATATTTATTTATTTATATGTGGGAAATGTTCATACTTTTTCGCGATCAGGTAATTTCATAATTTTTTACTGGGTTTAAGATTGAGAAAATTGTCATGTATTTTCGTGAAATTTTTCTAATTTATGAGAAAAAGCAGGTGTACATGGTATAGTGAAGAGTGTGCGCATGCCATTTTTGTGCAATTCTGGGATGTTTTTTTAAGTAAAAATAAGTCGACGTGTACATGGTTTAGTGATATTTTAATTAAATATAGTTATTTTGTGAATTTTATGTTTGTAGGAATTTGGTAACGTTTAAGTTGAAGTAAACGTGCTGGAAATAATTTAAAAAATTGATACTAAGTATTTGTAATGCTTGCGGTATGAATCGTTGGTGACTGTATGTATAGATGATTTAGAGGTAAAAGTTTTTGGATATTGTATTTTTATATGTGGAAAGTTCATATTGGAAGGGTAATACTTTTTCGCGATCAGGTAATTTCATATATGTTCTTTTTACGGGTTTAAAGATTGAGAAAATTGTCATGTATTTTGTGAAATTTTATAATTATGAGAAAAAAGCAGTGTACATGGTATAGTGAAGAGTGTGGCAATGCCATTTTGTGCAATTCTGGATGTTTTTAAGTAAAATAAGTCGGCGTGGACATGGTTTGTGTATGTGTTTTTGAAAAACGCGTAAGGAGTATGGTATTGTGCCACTTTTTCCCAATTTTGCAGTGAAATTTGTCATGATTAACCAGTTTTGTTGGATAAAATTTCTAGCAAAGTGTAATTCACTAGTAGATGTTGGAAAGAAGTTCAGTAGATAAAAAGAAAGCAAGTCTTACTTCGTGAAGACAAAATGGGGCGGGAAAAAAAAATAGGGTGCGGTGAGAGTTGTGCCACTTTTCGCAAAAAATGCCAATTTAGCCTAAGTAAGATCAACAAAAAAAAAAAAAGCCTTTATCGTGAAACAAATGTTTGTCCATTAAAACAACTGCAGGTTCGCCACTTTTCGCCCAAAAAATCGCCAGTTACCAATCGAAGATAACCTGATTCTTAATGAATAATAACATCGGGTACTCTTAATAAGCCCTCAATGGCGACAAATCGCCACAGTGACATAGTACTCCTACAATTGTCTCATCGAACTTTAAGCCTAAAATGTCTCCAAAAACACGGTTTTCGCACCTACAAAAAGCACATTTTGAACACACTATTTAAGCTAAAAATCCAAAACAAAAAATTTAGATAGCAAAAATGCAAAGTCTCTAACCAAAAATATTTCACAAGAATCCATGTACACAGCCATATGCTTGAACTTAAAAAAACATCACAGAATTGTACAATCTATGCAGTGAAAGAATCTACGAACTATGCACACCTCGCTTAAATAAATTAACACAACAACAATAAAATTCAAAGAATACCATGTACACAGTGTTTTGCTTAAACTTTAAAAAAAATCTACGAATTGCACAATCTAGAAAGCGAAGAAATCTACGAACTACGCACACCTTGCTTAAATAAATTAACATAACAATAAATTTCAAAGAATACCAAACTGTTTAAACTGTAAAAAAATCACCTATGAATTACACAATCTAGGCATTGTGCACTGATCAACAAAATAAACTAAAATAAATTACAAACAAATCAAACAACAACAACAACAACAACAAAATTCATACTAAAAAAACAATGAAAAACATTACAAAATAAAAACAAAATAAAATGCATTACCATAATAAATGCTTCTTCGAACAGCAGAAATATTAAGAGCATACAAAATCCAGCATACATTCGTGAATAAAATTTCGCTAGTCACACGACGTCTGTGAACAAAATTGCCACAATTTTGCAATATCACACGTCTTTCTGCAATTCAAAATTCTGAAGGTAACGATAAAAACTTCCTCCAAAGTTAACTTACTACACAAAAACCACGATCCAAATCTTAAACTCTGCAGACAGCCACATACTTTAGCAGCAACCATTTACCTGCAAACCCACACAAGTATAATGCCCTTCTTCATCTGACTTCTCATATCAGCTCCGCATTTCAGACATGCCAAACTTTACTTCAGAAGTCCTGACTCCCACAGAAATTCAAAAAATACACTTTGATCCGCATAAACACACCCATGAACAAAAGACACATTAACAACTCCAACATCGTACCTTTTAATACTAAATTTACTTTGCACACAAACTAAAATACACGACTGAAATTTTCCCACCACATCTTTCATTGCAACATTCCATTTCAAAACGTGCATGATACGAACCAATGAGCAAATAAAACCACTGCAGTTAAAGAGAAAGTTTCAAGGTCAAAAAGGTTGCCACACAAACAACATCGTCCCCGAAACCATTGCAGAACACATGTCGCCACATTTGGCGACCTGAGGGCACATGTAAGAATAGTACCATGTATTCATAGTATTTACGTATTATCGCAACCACGTTAGTTGTACTGTCTCAAGGCTCTTGCCAACGACAGATCAATCTTGCACTCCTTGTCCCAATGAATTTTGTGGGCTTGTTCTGATGTTATTGTCAGACAAGTGAGATAAGTCGCAACATTAATCGGCAAAGGCCTTAAAATACAGTAAATTCTGATAACCATGCCTATAACAATTATTTAGGCAAACATACGCATGACTAATATTGAGTTTCTAAAGTCATTATTTTCCTATGTGTTCATTTTGTTATATTCCAAATTCCAACAGCTTTTAATTTTTTGTTTGAAACTAGATTTGGAACACTTATATGCACCCTCAGTCGCCAATTTCTCGCCCCACACTGCATATTACTATCTAAGTTTTTTGTTACAATTTTGAACTTTAGCTAAAATGTTCCAAAAACGCGGTTTTCGCACATGCAAAACTACTTTGAACACACAATTTAAGATAAAAAATCCGAAACAAAACAAAAATTTAGATAGCAAAAACATAAAGTTTCTAACCAAAATATTTGAAAGATTCATGTACACAGCGATATGTTTAATTTAAAAAAAATCTACGAATGCAGAATCTAGGCAACGAATGAATTACGAACTATGCACACCTCATTTTAATAAATTAAAAACAATAAATTTCAAAGAATACCATGTACACAGCATTCTGTTGCACAACAACTTCGCACACATAGCTTTAATAATTGACATAACTAATTTCAAAGAATACCACACAGCTTGTTTCAACACAAGCATCTACGAATTGCACAATCTAGACACTATGCACTAATCAACAAAATAAAATAAACTTCAAACAATTAAAAAACAAGAATAACGACAGAAATTCATACTAAAAAAACAATGAACATAACATTCTAAAAATAAGAACAAGAATAAAATAAAATGCACTTACCATGAATGCTTTTTCGAACAGCAGAAATACCAATTTCATACCACCTTTAACATGCCGCCACGTAATCATCACTATCGTAGTTATATGACAGCCAGACACACTATCCAGAAAATTTATACTATGGTTCACAAATAAATAAAATCACAAATCCCTATTTCTATCATGCACAGCCACTAAAAATAATTTACCAGACCCTCTTTCCACAGCTCCAAATACCCACTGCCCCTCAACAGGATGGCCACAATATTTCCTTTTGCCGAACTGCAATTCAACAACTTCCACCATTTTATCTTCCCTATTTTCTGAGACAGACGCGAACCAACAAACCAATGACGCAAACCAAAGAGAAAGAATTTTCAACGTCAACAGGGTTGCCATACAACACACAATCGTGCCAAAAACCAGCGCAGAACACATATCGCCACATTTGGTGAAATTAGGGCGTATATCAGAGTTGTACCCTTGATTTTAAAATTTATACTTATAGGATTTTCCTATAATAGAAGATTAAAAGGTAAAATTTCTGCAGAAATACATTATTTTCACATAAAATCGCTAAAAGAACAATGCTTTGAATTCCTTTTCAAAGCAACTGATACGAAATTTCCACCAATAACATAAACCAAACTCATTTGTAAGTAAGTTTACTGATTGACTTTTGGATAAATATTTATTTTAAACATCAAATATATAATTTTCAAAATAAAAATAATTGTTGTTTTTCATCCATAAAATTCATGAAAAAGCGGCGAGACGGTTGCAATAATATGCAAGTACCGAAATCGTTAATGTTTGGTATTTTTATGTATATTTTAGCAATGCATCCAGTGCTGCCAATTTTTTATTTCATACTTCTTTTCCCATAGAAGAATGTTTTCTCTATGTAAAAAGTAGAGTTGAAACTTGTACACTCCAACAAAATGAAAATGAAAAAGGCCATACTCTACAATTCCATTACGATTCGTTAGAATAAAAATAAATTTACTCAATGCACGATGAAATGCTTATTAGGACTGGTGTATACTTTGGTATAATTGGTGTATATATGCTTATAAGAATCAGTGATAGTACATAACTGCAGGTAAGGTTGACAAAAGCTCTAACACTCAGCCATTCAAAACCCTCGACTTAAATACTCACACAACTAATTTACATTCTGATGAGGACTACAGAAAGCAGAACTTAAAAATCATAATAATTGGTTAATTAAAATAAAATAACTAATAATTGGTTAATTAACATATAATAATTTCAAAAGTGCCAGCTCACATGTATACCTTGCCACATAAATACATTTTTGATGACATCACAAATTGTGATCAATACTTGTTTTTGTGGCTTTTAACCCATTTATGTTATGTAGGAGGTACCAGAAAACAAAAAATACTAATATTTATTTTAAAATTACTGAATCTATTAGAATAATTAATCTTAATTTCATTTTACAAGCAAAAAGTTACACATACCAACAATACATAATAATTTATAAAAACCCTTTCAGCATAATGCTACACCAAACTGTTTAATGCTTAGTAAATGGGAAGCAGTACACAACATATATTATATTACTTAACTATATTTCTCAGGAACAATTAAAATTCTTCGTACCTTTGAGCTTAATTTCCTATATGATTTTATTAATTCCTACTATTCGCCAAAACAAAAACAATAAGATGGTCGTCTCCAACAGAAATTTTTGCTCTTCAAAATTTCTTAAACCAGTTCATTTCTTGTCAATATATAATAAACTATAGATGAGAGATTAGAAACTCCAAGAAAGTAAAATCAAATCATACGAGTTAAAAAATTTATGTCTATTCTGAATGAATGAAAAGATTTTCATTGAATTTACCCCGCTAGGAACCGGACTCCGAAAAAAATCTAGTTTAAAAAAAATCTATGAATTTACAATAGTTTGATTTTTATTAATTAATTGCAGTTATTTTGAATTTAGCTGAAAAGGTGAAACAGCAAAAACAAAAAATGTGTGATATTTGTTTTGTTCCCGTGTTTTACAGTTTTTCTCCCCATATGCTTCTCCCTTCCTCATTATGATGAAAGCAATGTTATTTTTCATGAGTTTTCTTGAATAAATTAAGAAAAGTTGTTTAAACACATACTCAGTAAGAAACTGCTGGCTTTTTATAGGTTACATAAACTAGAAAGAAACTAAAATTTTCAGAGAAAAACTCATTAGCCAATCAAAATTATTTAAACTTACAGTTAAGAAAGTTCCAACCTTAGATTGCTGCTAGTTTTATAGAAAAGAGTTTATACTTTTGTGAAACACCATACCAGTTTAACTGGCTATGCATAGTGATTTTCTATAAAATTAAAATTCAAAGGACAAATTTTCCTAAATTTCTAACTAAAATAATTTTCTTTCAGTTTTTTTTTTTTTTTTTTTTTTTTTTTTTTCCAGAGATTTTAGGTTAAAAACAATTAAAATTTTTATTTTTATACAAATATACTACTTAAAATTGAAAATATTAAGGTTTATTAAAAACTCCTTAGGGTAAGATACTTGTGTCAATTTTTTTTTAATTACTTTTACAATTCACCAATGATGCACAAGCTCTACCTTATTACTATTTGGTTACAATCTGCATATATTTAATATTTCATTCCTAATGGTTTAAACATCTTACATTAATATAAAATTCAGTTCAATGTATACTATGAAAGAAAGTAAGCAGAAAGTGCAGAATCGCAGACCGCTTGGTGCATTTTTAAGAATTGCACATACTCGGTATCCATGTACACATCGACCTATTTTCACTTGACAAGAACTTCCCACAACTGCACAAATGGCATTGTGCCCTCCCTTGCCTTTATCCATGTACACATCGACCTATTTTCACTTAAAAAGTCAAAGAAAATTGACAAAAATCTAATCTTCTTTCTCTTGTAAAAAGCACCAAACAAATAAGTGCGCAATTCTGCACTTTAGCCAAAAGTAAATGCCAGACTGAACGGATAATGAACAAGGTGTTATTGTGGTATACTTTTAAATTATGTAAAATTTATCATACAAAGATTTTTAGGATTTCTTTTTTAAATTTATGTAATAAATTTGTTATTAAACAACAATCACTGATACAATAAAAGCCAAACATTACTTCAGATGGTAAATACATTCAGCATGTTGATTCATTTTTCAGTAATCACTCAGTATTTTATAGCAAAATGTGGAAATTTCTATTGAAATTTTTCTGCATAAAAACAATAATGAAAAAAAAAAAAATTATAAAAAGAACCTGAATTTACAGAAAAAAAATCTGAAAACTGGTGATGAATTGTGCATTCAATCTTTATATGCAGATTATAAATTTCCCATCGGAATTGAAACAGGAAAAAAAAATTAAATAAGATTAAATTATTTTGAGATGCACTTGAAGAAAATCGGCTCGTACTTAAAGTAACTAGATCAAACCCCCACGCAGACATTACATTTGTTCCTGAGGCAAAGGTTCTTCAACGTTAACCACTCATCCAGTTATAGGTTACATAAATATAATCAGAAAAAGCACTACACATAAAACAGACTCCATTCTTAATACTTCCCCCTTTTCAAAACACCTATAATAAGAAAAACTTCATAATAAAAATTTAAATCCATACAGAACAAATGTTAACATCCATACAAACATGCATTTTTTAAACATGTTTATACTTACAGCTGCTGATGTATAGTTGAAAATTTATTTTCTAATATGTAGAACATATAAAAAATCCCACAGCAGCAAGAAAAACGTGCATAACAAATAAAATAGGATATTTGGCAAAAATCCGAGAATGAAAGACAAATACAACACACACAAAAAAAAAAAAAAAAATTGCTTTCAAACAGCTGTACGCTACAGAAGAAAATCACATACTAATTTTCTTAACTATCAAATGTAATATAAACAAACGTAAGATGATAGGACTTTAATTAATTAAGTTGAAGAGAAAGGCTACTTCATATTTCAGCATGATTATTTTAATTTTACCTAAAAAGTATTAAGTATAGTATTAAGGTATAAATTTTTAATTTTATTTATAGATAGAGATATCAGAAATTTTTATAGATTTTTGTAAAATTTAATTAGAATAAAATGAGGAATATCTTCAAAATTTTTATTTCGTCTAATTATTTCAAAATTGCAATAATTGATGCTCTTGTGCATAGAGATATCTTAAAATTGTTATTGTTTAAGCAAAAATTGGAACTACTTGGCGTCTAAAAATTTTGAATGAAAAACAAAATCGTGCTTTTTTCTGACAATTTTTGTCGTAAGTTGGCAACGCATATTTCGCGCTCAGTAAAATTTTGCGCGATATTTGGTAATTTATCAATGTAAAACATAGTATTTTTATATTATCCAATTCTAACACATGGAAAACATCACTGTTGTTGTTGTTGATCAAATATTGTAACAGAGCATGTATAATTTCTCTTTACTGTACTTTTGCAAAAAAGAAAACGCAAGTAAATAATAATTTTAACATGCAAAATACTATGAATATGTCGGAGGAAAAAGCATCGCTTACAAAGGTACTTTACACTTTTTTATGTATATCGAATGTTTTAATAATTATCTACGCTTACACTTCCTGCACCTCATTACATGAATTAAACGAAAAAAGTACTTTTAATCTCCCCCCCCCCTCCAAAAAAATTGTGTTTTGCATGTCTCTGTTGGATTAGAATAATATTTTACTAAATTCGGTATGTACATAACATCTTTAATAGTAAAACATTATCCTCGCGTATAATGTAAAAAATGAGTCGGTTTTAATTAATTGCAAAAGCTGTATATTAAGCTTAAACATTAAACAGACCTCTTTTAACAAAATGAAAATTATTCTATTGTTATTAATTATTTCTCAATGAATCCCTTATGAAAAATTTTTATCGAAACTTGAAGAGCTATATAAAAATGTTTAAACTACTCTGTAGGTATTTAGAGCAGTAGTTTAGTTCTGTAGGGAGCTCTATCAGCCTCTGTAAAAAATTTTCATTAGGTATCCTTTTGAAACGTGCGTAATCGTAATTACTTCTCTCTCTAATCTCTTGTGGTTAAATATTATTAACAAAAATCTCGTGTTCATTCTAGGTTTAGTTTTTAATAGGAACAAGTCGGTGAACTGAGATTTATGTAGTTTTCTTGTTTGAAATGCAAATGTGGATTTCCTGTATGAAAAATTCTGTTATAAAAGCATACTGTCTTAGATATCTCTCAAATGCTTTATCATAATTTGACCAATTAGTTTATTTGAGAAATGTAGAAAATACTACTTTGTAATCATTAATAAGAGTAAATTTTGTTGATATTTTATTTTTTACTTGAGTTTGCAGAAATAATTATATTATAAACATCCAGAAATAAATTATTATACACATTCAAACTTATCATATTTTTACTAAATCACTCTAAAGCTCATTACTTTTTTTCCTGAAGGCATAAGTTAAGAAATGAATCAAGTATTTGTAATCTTTACTGTTTTACTAGTAACTTGCAAACAATATATATTGTTAGTCTTTTATGCAATTCCTTTCATTTCCCATTAGTTGATTAAAATATCAGTTTTATTATGAAATAGTAGTCCTCTTAAACATAAAGTTACTATTACTTAAGAAGTTGTTTATTACTTCCTCTACTATGCTTAAAGGTTTTGTGGCACAGCTTTAATAATATCAGTCCTTTTTGGTGATAAATGAAAATTTATGATAACCCTAAATACTGAGCTGAAACATGTGCATCCATTTCTGTCCTCGTAACTTTAACGAATTTGGTAGGTAGCAGAGCTTTCATAGGCGGGAGGGATAATTTGCAGGTTTTTCTTGTTGTTTTTGTTTTAGGAAAGCACAACTTGGTTGATCTTTACATTATGGTAACTTGGCGATTTTTTGGCGAAAATTTGGCAACCAACTCTTCTACAGCAACCCTCTGTTTTTTTTCCCCGCCGCCATTTTGTCTTCACGAAGTAAAGACATGTTTCTTTTCTTTTTATCTACTGAACACTTCTTCCAACAATCTACTAGCCGAATTACACTTATGCTAGAAATTTTATCAAACAAAACTGGTTAATCATGACAAATATTCACTGCAAAATTGGGAAAAAGTGCACCACAATACCATACTCCTTACGCGTTTTTCAAAATAACACATACACATAAACCATGTACACGCCGACTTATTTTTACTTAAAAAAACATCCCAGAATTGCACAAAAATGGCATTGCGCACACTCTTCACTATATCCATGTACACTGCTCTTTTCTCATAAATTAGAAAAATTTCACGAAAATACATGACAATTTTCTCAATCTTTAAACCCGGTAAAAAGAACATATATGAAATTACCTGATCGCAAAAAAGTATTTACCCTTTCCAAATATGAACATTTCCACATATAAAATAAATAAAATATCCAAAAACTTTTACCTCTAAATCATCTATTACATTATACATGTCACCAACGAATTCATAATACTGCAAGCATTACAAATACTTAGTATCAATATTTTAAATTATTTCCATGCACATTTTATTTCAACTTAAACGTATACCAAATTCCTACAAACATAAAATTCACAAAATAACTATCATTTCATTAAAATATAATTAAATTCAAAAACACTACTTAAAATATAAATGAGCACATACATTAAATTAATAAAAATTACCTTACAATCCTAATTACTTTAAAACTAAATCATTGCTAATAACAATTTTCCCAATAATACCAAATTTCCTTTCCACCTTACATTTAGAAAAATGCATAAAAATAATATCCTCAAATAATTAAAAATACTAACTTACCTAATCTTCTTCAGAATCTTGATTACGTGGCGGATACACTTTTCTAATTCATTCAATAAAATTATTGAAAGATTTTTTGTGCGAATGTTTCCTCCATACTTCCTCCGCTAAATAAAAAGCAAACTTCTCTTTATCACAATGCCTAAATACCCATTTCGAATTCACTTTAGTTAGGGCCATGGGATCCAAAAATTAAACAACACAGAATAAAGCTAAATACAAAATTTCCACATTTTTTCCCGATTTCCCCCCTTTTCCGATTAAAGAACCGTAATTCGTCTATTAATATCCCATGATCTCTCATTTCCCTCATGCAAAATAATGCGTAATCGGAACTGAGTACTGCTCACATTATTACCAAAGTCCCAGGTAGTAACCTTTATCGCCTCCAAAATGTCGCCAAACTACCAGTTACCATATTGTAAAGATCAACCCACAACTTTTAAAATATTTTTTAAAAAGCCAAAATTTGTTAGTTAAAACTGCTGCTTTTAATGTTACATCACATGATTCTTGACATTTTTTCAAATGTCAACTCTGCATATTATAAACCCCAGGCCCCCCCCAAAAAAAACAAATTTTGGTACTTTTCCGTTTTGCCGGCGCAAGCGATGAAGTCGCCAATAATGGTACAACCGATGCCAAACGGAATATTCTTGCTGGTAACCTTTTACACCTCATTTTCAAAACAAGTCGCCGCTTTGTCTTATCAGATTGATTGTTTCTTTCAATACTAGCATATAATTACATAGAATTTTTATCAGATAGTTCAGTTTTATGTCTAAGGCCATTTTCGGTAATTAAGTCAATCAGGATGCAATCACAGCGCTTACCCGAAGCCGAAAATATAGAAAAGGTAAAGTCAAGGGTTAAATTCATCAATTCTAATGAGAATGCATTAACGAAGTAAAGCACTGCAGTTTTACATAATTTCTGTGTAAGCTATTCGTACGAATTGAAATATTTCTTGCATTTAAACTTGTGTTCCAAATTAAGATTTAACTTGAAATTAATATAGATAATTACTGAGAGCATTAGATTTTTGTAGAGTAGTTTACATGAGATGAGATCGCTTGGGTTCACGTGATATGAACAGGCGAATCAGGATGTTGAACCATGAAAGCATAGTAAATTCTTAAATTAATGTCTTTTTACAAATTTATTGTCTTTATTTATTGGCTTTTTATAAAATTTTAAGCGATATTAAAATGTTTTTGCCTTCAAAAAAAGAACTTTTAGAACTAACATTTTTTATGTGTATACCGTATGTTGTCGCCAATAAAGTCTGCTTGGCGAGATTTGCGCCGGCGAAACGGAAAAGTACCCAAATTTTTAGTAGCATGAGGTAAACTATTGACTGGAAATGTGGGTAGCACATGCAAATTTAGACTACTTGCATGTTTCTTAAAATGTACAGTGATCAAATTTATCATGGTCTAAAAATACTTTTTTGCCTGATTTCTTAAATTAAGGCTCACCAGCAGTTGAGCTGGTAGTTCGGTCTGAGGTTCAAATCCCGTGAGCGGGCTGCCTGTATGGATGTTTTCGTGGTTTTCCCCATGTATAACGTGTATACGAGCCAGTTTCCCTTAGAAAGTTCTCCACGAAGGCATCCCTCTCCTTAGGCAGATAGCCCTAGTGTGCTTTGCCATAATTAAATAAACCAAACCATTTCTTAATTAGAACTATAGGGATGTGTTATTGCATGAATTCATAGACCAAAATCAGGTTTCATTATTGCTCTTATAACATTTTTATAATTTGTCTGTCTATAAAAAATACAATGTTGCTTAGATTAAGGAATATATTGCTTATAATTTACTGTTGTCAAAATTTCTGAATCTCACAATCTAATAGCTGTATATGAATAACCTTCACCGAGTATCATTACTTTTATAAATAGTATATTGACATAACTGTCGACTTTTTATTTTAAATTTTATGCAAATTTTCTATATTACTTAGATTTAATTTAACAGAAATCTGAATTTTTTATAATAAAAACTCTATAATACAAGTAAGAGTAAAATTTATATATAAAAATTTAAATATACAGCAAGCACTTAAACACTGATTTCAATGTCTTCAAATGAAATTATTATAAAATTTAGATATATTCTTATTAAGTTAAGATATAATCTTATTCTATTATAAAGTTTAGATGTACAGAACAGAAGGCACATTTTGTGCTTATAACTCAGTCAACCACTTGTGGCCAGATAACTATTATTAATCAAGTTCAAGTCTAAAATTTAAATTCAAATAAACTAGCAGAAGTGTGTTAAGAAACATCACTTTATTGTTGTTGGAAAAACTGTTTCAGAATGAAAAAAGTGAGGAAACTACAAATATTATTACCATAACTTTAAACCACTGCTATCTAAAGTTTTCACATAAAAATGATGTGGGTAGCTTTAGCAGTGTAAAGCACAGAAACATAAAAATTAACATTACTTTTCAAAATATTTTGGTAAAATCCTAGTATACAGTGCAGCCTTGGCGCGATTTCAAAAATTATCGCCAACACCAAAATGACCCAGAGAACGTCTGTGTATATACTATACATTATATACTATCACTATATACATAGTATATAATATGTATAACTATATATATTCTTTGAATGACCCGTTTACTAATCATAAAAGTCGCCAAAAGTAGCCAAATCCCGTGTGCACTGGATACTAGAATTAAACCCGTTTCTATAGTTAGAATGAATTAACAAGCCAGATGCTTTTCTACATTCTACTTCTTTTCTTAAAAACACTAAAAGTTCACTTATGTTAAACTTTGAAGTTGATTCGCGTTTTGTGTTGCATTCTAGGTTCATGACTACCGGCAATTTTTGTCAAATCAAAAGACATAATATATTTCCGTACGCATCTGCGGTGATGTTAACAGTTTGTAAGCCTCTTAACTGTACTTGGCACTCGTCATGCAACTTTCTTAATGCTTTTACGTTATTGGAGTTTCTTGATGGGTCGATAGCTAACCATTTATTTATATGAGAACTTATGATAAGTTCATTTCGATCAAACCGCTCTTTAAGCAATAATTTGGAACAGTTGTAGTTTTTACAATTTACAGAAAATTCAGAAACCTCAGCTAATAGACAAATAGATTTTTAAATAGCTTATTTTTTCAAACTTTGTCAAAGTTTTTATTATTTATATTGCTACTTCAAAACACTTTCAAAAGTCTAGCAACGTACTATATTCTCCATAAAATTTCGATATTTCTACTTTCAACAGTTTCACGGTACTTCTAGTAAACTGCGAGAAATTATATCCTGCGAACTATTAAGACGTGGTTAGTGCTGTAATACAACAATATTTAAATCTATATGATTATCAATTTCGTTACCTACCACTTTGGTAAAATCCTAGTATACGGTGCAGCCTTGGCGCGATTTTAAAAATTATCACCAACACCAAAAATTATCCAAAGAACGTCTAAATATACTATGTGTGTATATACATAGTATATACACTATACTATACTATGTATCTTGAATGACCCGTTGACTACATCGTATATGTCTCGTTTTTACTGCTCATCATAAAAGTCGCCAAAAGTAGCCAAATCCCGTGTGCATCGGATACTAGGATTAAACCAAATATTTCATGTAACTCATAAATAAAAACATTCTTTTTCCTTTATTAAAATAAGCTAATTTTTGCTGCCTGAGAATGTAAAAGGGCAAACAAAATATAGTGATCTGTATTTATGAATAGAAAATAAATATATGCGTAGGCTAGCAGAGGAAAGATGCCTTCATAAAAGACTGTTTAAGAAAACTGTCTCAAATTCACGTTACATGTAAGGAAAACCACAAAAACTCCCATATAGCCAACTTGAACTGCCAGTGTTCAGTGGCTTATCACTCCACCACTAGTGGATTCCAATGACTTTGAATCGTTCACAGAAATCATCAGTTACGACAATTGTTGTTGTGTATTATTATCATTGGCACAAAATTTACTCATTATGATAATTTAATTTTAGCTTTTAAATTACAATCATAATTCATAAAAAGTATTTCTAACACTAATACAAAATTTACTCGTTATAATTTAATTTGGTTTCCTTCAATTTAAAATATTTTTTTATTTATTTTAAATAACAGAATCTGAGAAACTAAAGTAATACAGTCAAAAGTCTTTAATCTGGACTCGTCAGGACTTTGGCGATTCCGGATTATTGGTTTTTCTGGATTATAGATCATCAGTTTTAATGTAGTAAGATGAAATGCAGAAATTATAAAATTAAAAATATGAAACCATAATTTATGAAATAAAGAGCAATTATGATCTAAAGGGTATCAAAATTTACAAAAAAAAAAAAAAAAAACTTAATATTTATTTGTTTACGTTATTAAACATTTTAATGTAAATTGTTTAAGTTGCTTCGTTTTATGTGCTAAGACTTTCTTTTTAATTCTATAAACAGACATAATTTCTTGTTCAGTTACAAAGTTCCGCTGTTCAAGTCCTATAATTGCTGTGTCGAGAATACTGACTAATTTGTCATTCGAAATTTTTTAATTTTCAATAACCTCTCTGTCACTTTCTTCACTATCGGAAGCGGTACGTCGAAACATGCTTTCACTTTGTAGTTGCTTTGGCAGCTCCAGAATCAGAAACTCATTTTGACATAATCGAAAGTTCAAGCTTACTTTTTATAAAAATGCTCTAACAGTCTGCAAAAAATAATAAGCCAGATGCAATTAGAAGATTAAGGAACAACGCTATCTGCAACATTAAATGAAATTGATAATTAGATAATTTTAGCCTAGCTTATACCGTCCGTTATACATTAAACACTCGTGCGTAAACGCATGTTTGAAGTTTGTAGCTTTGAGGTCCGGATTATAGATCATTCCGCATTATGGACGTCCGGATTAAAGACTTTTGACTGTATAATACTAGTTGTAATTTAACAAACATTCTCTATTTGTAAAAAGCAGATTTAAAGTTAATTAAATTTTAAATGAAATTGAATTACAAATAAATGATTAATTATTGCTGCAAACTAATCTACAATATCATTTAAATTCTGAGAGCATATGTAAATCAAGTGCAGGTATCAAAATCTATGAATAAATATATAATTCCAATAAATTTTTAAATCCTAGAAATTTATAAAAATGCATAAGTGCATGATTGTTGAGCAGATGGGAGACAGACTTATCAAGGGGAAGTTGCCTTCAAACCTAACTCTTCAATTATTCAATTTGTGTTCCGTGATCCATGTAGGCAAGGGTAAAAGGAAATTTCAAAACCAAAAGCAAACCAAATGTTGTGAATTACTAAAAAGAAATTTAAACTAGTGGAATTTAAGAGAAATTAGCAAGTAAAGACTAGAATTAAAAATAAAGAGTAATGCGTTTATTAACCTTTGTAAATGTAAAATATTAGCTAAATACTAATACATATAATATAAATATTAACTATTTAAAATATTAATTAATAGTTAAGATATTAATATGATTAATATATTTTGTAATGTAAAATATTAACCTTTTGTAAATTTCATTACTTCAGGTGTTCATTACTTCATCACTTCAAGTGTTTCAAGAATTTATCATAGCAGTACTAGAATTGTTAAAAATTAGAGAAAGACATTTTTTTTTTTCCAGTATTCTAATCAGGAGCTTATTTTTTAGAATTGATAGTTAGTATAACTTGATCTCATTAACGGGTTTTGTTGACAATCTGTCATTTTTTCCCGATCCTCAAAGTCAGGTCTACCTTGGCGACATGTTTGTCGCCAAATAAAAAAATCGCCAAAAGGACCAATACTAAAGCTGTTCCACTTTTGTTTATGTTCCAAACATTTTTAAGTATATAATACCAAAATATTTATACTTTATATAACTATAGGCATCTGCTCCATCTTTAAATTTGATGATTTATGGTCCATATCTTTGTATTCAGTTCACGTCATATATCTTTATGTTATAAACATATAGTTCTTATTATTAGAAAGAAAAAAAAAATTAGTTTTCATTTTTTCAATTGATGTTTTATTATAAATGATTGTTTGTTGCATTGAATCTAATTTTTGTAAATACAGCTATTGATCTTTTAGTTATAAAGTGCAATCGGAATTTGCATTATGTGGTAGATTCAAATAATTATTTTAAAATCAGATGTATTTCATCATACAAATTATCATTTTATATAATTTATATGCTATAAATAAGTGTGTGGATCATATTTTAATTTATTTTGTAGGGTTGCTTTGTTCATAAGCCAAGTAAAGTAAAGAAAAGGAAATCTAGTAAGAATTTTTTATTCTTTTCTGTGCATAAAAGTTTCAAAGGGATTATGTTCAATCTTTGACTTACAAAGTAAATGAAAAAAGTAATTTTGTCTTTAAAGATTTAAATTTATATTACTTTTTCTCTTGTAGAAAAGCACTTATTAAAAAAACTTGAGTTAATGGCATATATATACAATGGACAGTCAAAAAGTTCCTGGAATTTCATTGTTATTCTTTATCACCACAAATAATTAATTTTATTTTACTACCACTATATTTATTTACTACTACTAGAATTCAGTAACAGGCAGTGTGATATCAGTATAACTGAAGGTAGGAGTATGTGGTGATCAGTTGTTGCAGTGTCAAAGTTTGAGCAAAGGACAAACATCAAGTTCTGCTTCAGAGATTTAGTTAGCCTTATAAACAGTTTATGGTGATGCTTCTTTAAAGAAAATAACCATTTATGAGCTATTTTCAAGATTTCAGGGTGAACAGGAAACTCTATAACTGGTCCAAAATGGTCCAAAACTATTTCTATTCGCAGTAGATGATCTTTAACTTCTAGAAACAAAGAAATGGTCAAGCAAGTGAAACAATTAATCGGATCAGACTGAAGAATGCCTATCAAAAGGTTGGCACAGGAAGTGGGGATCTCTCAAGGATCCATTCACGCAATCCTTGTCAGATGATTTGAAATGTCTAGTCCAAAGTTTCTTCCGCGGCTGCTGAACCCAAATCAGATGGAACCTCATCAGCTTACTGTGGCTGAGTGTTTTGAAAAAGAAGACAAACCAACATTTCTTGAAACAATTGTTAGTAGTGATAAGACCTGAGTGTATGTTTACGACCCAGATGCAAAAGTGCAGTCATTAGAATGGCACACAACGTCCTCTTTTCGACTGAAATTACACCATGTCAGATCTAAAACAAAAGTGATGCTCATTGCATTTTTCAACAATGAAGCAGGGGTGCACCATGAATTTGTACTGGCTGGACAAACTGTTAACGGTCCTTTTTACATGCAAGTTTTAAAAATACTGAGGGAGACAATTCGATGAAAATACCACACCAAATGGCAAGAATCATGGTCACTACATCATGATAATGGTTTCTTCGACACATCAATTGTTGTGTAGACATGGCTTGCAGAAAAAATATTTCTGTCCTCCACCAGCCTCCTTATTCAGCGGATTTCTGGCTTTCTGCTGATATAAAAGTGAGCCTCAAAAATAGCCATTTTGACACCACAGAAGACATCAAAACCAATGCAGTGGCTGAACTTCAGAAGGTACCACAACAGAATTGTTATCATTGTTTCCAGCAATGGCAGGAGGAGTGGAGTAAGTACATGTGTTCTTAAGGAGTCTATTTTGAAGGTGATTAAGTAAATGTTACCTATATTGTGGTACCAAAGACTTATATTAAAATTCTGGGAACTTTTTAACTGCTCATCGCACATTAGATGCTGCTTAATGTTATCGCATTGATGTTACCATTCAGGTAATGTTATCCATTTGCCAAAGTCCTGTTCATTTGTATTTGAAAACAAGGAAAATACATTATTGTTAATGTTATTGAAATAGCACAGAATGAGTTTTGATTTCTTTGTATGAAATAAAGGAAGTACTGAAATCATTAAAAATTCCAGATATCATATTTCAATGAAAATATCTATTTTGACTGTTTTCAAATGCAATTTAATAATGTTTCTGCATGACATCTGTAGTTAAGGGCTGAATAACGTACTATCTTTCCCCAAACAAATTATAAAACTGATTTAAAATGTATTCAGAAGATATTTTTTCGTGTCGTCTACGTACGTATGTATATATATCGTTTAACTCAAAAACGAGTAGCTTCAGAACATTGAAATTTTGTATATAGGATTGCTATAACATGTAGTTGTGTATCTCCCTTTTTGGTTACAATCGGCCACACCAAAAGTGTATATATATACCCACTCTTGTTATTCAGCACAGTAAGCTCAGTTTTTTTTTTTTTTTTTTTTTTCTTATATGTGGGTAAATTGTGCATTTTTTGACTTAAAAATGATTATGTTCTTCTTCTCCTCCGGTTAAGGGTTTTTTTTTTTTTTTTGCCTTTAGTAAATCTGAGTACGATAGTTGTAGAATTATTAACAATTAAAAGTTGTTTAAGTGTGGCTAAGCCTAATTTTTTTCACCATAGCAACCATATTTGTTTACATTTGAATCTAGCAGAATAGGGAATTAAGTCTTTCTGCCGCCTTCAGTGTCTTTTTGCAAAGTGGTACCAAAAGGAATCTTTTAGTTTTGTGCACCAAAAAATCTGTCTTTTTGCAAGTTGGCCGAATTGCTCGTTTGCGTAGAAGCTGTAATTTTAATGGGGTTTTTTTCTTTAATTTTAACTGTATTTGGTGTTTTATTTTTTTTTTATATCTTTCAATTTTTAATAAAGATATTTTGAATTTTTATGTATTTCTGTGTACTGCGAAGTGAGAGCTGAATTCATTGAATGAGAAACATATCGCTAATGAAACTCGAGGAAATAAGTTTAAATGAAATGCAGGAAAAAATGTGTATACAGTACAAAGTCTTTAATCCGCAATGATCTATAATCCGGACCTCAAAGCTACAAACTTTCTGCGCATAATACGTTTACGCATGCGTGTTTAATGTATAATGGATGTTATAAGCTAGGCTAAAATTATCTAATTATCTATTTCAGTTAATGCTGCAGATTGCATTGTTTCTTAATCTTCTAATTGGTTCCGGCTTATTATGTTTTGCAGACTGTTAGAGCAATTTTATAAAAAGTAAGCTTGAACTTTCTATTATGTCAAAAAGAGTTTCCGATTCTGGAGCTGCCAAAGGATCTACAAAGTGAAAGCGTGTTTCATGTCCATCAAACAAAATGTGGAATTGCTACAAAAATTGGATAAAGGCATGGAGAAAGAGAGGTTAGTGAAAACAAAGAAAGATATATTGACAAGTTAGTCGGTATTTTCGGCACAGCAATTACAGGACGTGAACAGTGGAACTTTGTAACTGATCAAGAAATTATGTCTGTTATAGAATTAAAGAGAAAGTATAGCTCATAAAACAAAGCAACTTAAACAACTTACATTGAAAGAAATGTTTAATAAAGTAAACAAATAAATATTAAGCTTTATTTGTAAATTTTGATACCCTTTAGATCATAATTGCTCTTTATTTCATAAATTACGGTTTCATATTTTAAATTTTATAATTTCTGCATGCCATCTTACCAGATTTAAATTGATGATCTTACCAGATTTAAATTGATGATCCGGAAAAAACTCTAATCCAGAATCGCCGAAGTCCCGACGAGTCCAGAAGTATGTAGTGTATACTTTGTAGTGTATTTTTCGAAAAAAAAATTTGTATTAGAAAACCTACAAAAGTTTTAACATCATCTTAAAGTAGATGTATTGCTAGGCACATCTACAAAAAATTATAGTTTTTTATTCAAAAATTTTTTAAGATATACATGAATTTACATGTTGAAGCATCTTGAAATTTGGAATTTTTTTTTAAATCTTTTTTAGTGATGAATTTTTCCACTCCTTTACAATCAAGAAAAGGAAAATGGGTTGCTGTAATTTAAGAAGTTCGCCAAGTAAATTGTTCTTGGCGAAAAGTGAAAAAAAATATGTCAAAATGAATGTCTGAATTTCTCCGTAAATTTTACAAAATTTAATATTTAGACATAATTTGAGCCATAGATAATAATGAAAATTGGCATGCCATTTCAGAAAAAGTCCTATTTTGTGTCAAAATACCTATGTTAGAATGATGCTATATATAAATCTAATATATATTCTAAGTCGTGCCTTCTCGAACTGAAAAACTGACGAAAATTTGTCAGTCAGCCCAGTAGAATGGGGAACTGCCCTCCCCTTTTTTTTGTGTGCAGTTTACATTATAATACTATTAAATTAACTACATATTTTATAGTAATATTATTTTTATCATCATCATTCTACATACAGTGTTTTCAGGTATTCAGCTATACATAAATCAAATTTGAATAAGTTCTCAAAAATATATCTCATACATAAGACTTCTTATACTTTTCAATTATCTTAAAGAATAATTAATATTTAAATTTAGACTTATTAATAACTGAAAATCAGCTGTAAATTTTCTAATGATTCTACTGAAAAAAAATGCATGGAATTAATATTATCGATATGCCCAAACTTTTAAATGAAGTTCAGTATTAATGATTTCTTTTTTGAAATCAGATTGAAAACAGTTTTCTCAAAATTCCCGTTCATTATGTAAAAGTTAAATTAATTAAAATTGTATATTATGAGCTATATATATTCAATGTTTTACTTATTTTTATAAAGGCTGTTATTTATATTTGTGGCTTTGGCGACAGTAACTGTTGCTAGGCGACCACAGACGATTTCAATCAAAAGGTTGATATTTTTAACCATAACTTTTTCAGAACATTTTGCCATTTTAACGTGTTTTTTTTTTTTTTTTTTTTTTTTTTTTTTTTTTTTTTTTTATAGTAAACTGAAAAATTCATCTCAGGCAAAAAATGGAATTGACTCGTGAACATTTTTCTGCGATTATTTTTCATAACTTTTGACATGCATTATCAAGACAAAAGTGCTCCGATGAACTTAATTCTTCATACAGCAATAAAGCACCATCCTACAGCACTATAAAAAACTAGTATAATAGGGTTTGTACACATTGCTGCACACGGAAATTAAGTACTTTTAAGGACGATTAATGAAAAAAATTAAGGATCTATGAGCAAATGGGAACTGAATAAATTCAATTAAAAATATTATTTTATGCCTGAATTTCACTTTTGTAATACCACCCTAAAAATAAAACAGAACTATACGTAGGATGCAGTATTATTTATTATTATGAATTAATTAACATAATTGTTAATAAGTTTCAGAATAAAATAAACTTTATGAAATTTCTCAAGTAGAATTAAATATTTTATACTTCTAATAGTTGGAAATATTAGAAAGAAGGTAAGTGACATTTTATTTACGTTTTACAAACAGCTTTTTATGTTGATATTTTTGTGTGTCTCATTTTGTCATATACTTGCTCAGTCTAGAGTTTAGTAAATAGCAGGTACATTTTTATGTCAAGCTGCACAGGTTAAAATGAGAAGTAAGATCATAATCAGTATGATACTTAACAAAAGACTGGATGTTATCACCGCTGCTGCCTGCCTAGCGAGGGACCTGCTGATTAAAACAAACCTGAAAGGCTTGATGTTGGCACACTTGGGCAAGTTTTGAAAGTTAGTTGGGGGTCTGTCTGATGCAGTTAGTGCCGTAGCTTCATGTGGAGTTCCAGGCTTGGTATAACCCAGTTAATATACTTAAGGTTCCAATAAGCCACTAACACCACAGGTGACAAGTTGTTTTGCATTATTTTAAATCTCACTAGATGCAAAGAAGAAGTTTTAGATGAATTTTCACTTTTTTGTGTTTTATCTTGTGACCACGGTAAGGATTAATAAAAGACAATAATACACAGAGATAATTTTTAAGGGTAAGCAGTTAGTTATAAATAATTAAATTAGGTAGTTAGATAACCTTAGTCATTATGGATTTACATAGCCACTATTAAATTTTATCTATTTTTAAACAATATTTGTTCAAAATGCCCTATTAAAATCACAATCTAATAAAATTTCACAGTTTAAAATACAGGGTGTTTATAAAGTTCCGGACCCATTTTGATGTTTAATAACTCATAAAATAATGAAGATATAAACAAACTTATGGCATTTGTTGATGGAATAACTTATTTATTTTCCTTTTCAGATTGAATATCTTTACTTTTGTAAATATCATCTGCGCGTGTGGTTAATTTCAGATAATTTCATTTTCCAGTCTAAATATCTGTACTTTTCTGAATATTGTCTGCTTATTAATTGCATTTTTCTCTCTTTTGTTTTTGGCATCTTTCTGGCATTGTTAATCGCCATAATGTGCACGTATGGGGATCTGAAAACCTCCATGAATACCATGAGGCACAAAGGGATTCTCCAAAGGTTAATGTGGGGTGTGGCCTAATGCACGACCGAGTCATTGGGCCTTTCGTTTTTACAGGAAATACGGTCTCATCAGTCGTATACTTAGACATGTTGGAAAACTTCATATTTCCACAACTAGAAGAGCTTCAGCCACATGTCTTTTTGCAACAAGATGGTGCACCACCTCATTGGGGTACCATCATTCATAGTTCTTTGAATGACCATTTTACAGGAAGATTTATCGGGCAAGGATGTCCAGTTCTTTGGCCAGCCAGATCACCTCATATAATGCCGCTGGACTTTTTCCTTTGGGGAT